CTTATTGCTTTTCTACCTGCTTGATCTATCAGTTACTGACAGGATGTTGAAGTGTCTAGTCACAATAAATTTGTCTTTCTCTTTTCAGTTGTATTAACTTTGCCCATATTCTCATGCTTTGTAAATAGGTATATAAGCGTTTCAGATTATATCTTTTTTGTGAAATTCACTCCTTTATTATTATGTAACTTCTAGCATGTTTTCTGCTTATTTCCTTTGTTCTTTGTTTCTCTCTTTTTCTGACTTCTCATGTTTCAACATTTTCAATAAGTTCATCTCCTTTCTTGGCATAACATATATATTTCTTTTTTTTTAAGATTTTTTTTTTTTAATTTTTAGAGAGGGAAGGGAGGGAGAAAGAGAGAGAGAGAAACATCAATGTGCAGTTGCTGGGGGCTGTGGCCTGCAACCCAGGCCTGTGCCCTGACTGGGAATCAAACCTGCAATACTTTGGTTTGCAGCCTGCGCTCAATCCACTGAGCTATGCCAGCCAGAGAACATATATATTTCTTAAACAAATTAGTGGTTCATTTTGGAATTTACAATACACATGTAAAAATAACCTCCTCTACTTTCAAATAACACTATAACTCTTCATATGTAGCACAGGCACATCATAACAGAGCATTCCCATTTCTTTCTTCCATCCCTTGTGCCACACTCTCATCCACTTAATGTACCCACATGTTACACACATCTAATGAACTGTTTCTATTACATCTTTGAACAACTAGCTTTCTGGCAGAGTAGATTAAGAATGAGATCAAGGACAAAAAAGGTTTTATTTAACCTTCATTTACTTCTTCTCTAATGCACATCATTTCTTTAGGTAGGTCCAAACTTCTGACCTTTTTAATTTTCCTCCTGCCTGAAGTTCTTTCAACAATTCTTTTAGTGCAGTGAATTTTTTCAGAATGTCTAACAAAGTCTTTATGTCTCCTTCACCTTTGAAGTATAACTTTGCTGGCATAGTATTCTAGTTTGCCAGTTTTTTCTTGCAACATTTTAAAGATTTCATTCTACTATTTAAGTTCATTTTGTCCTTGTTTCTCTGTAAGGTGTTTTTCCCCCCTCAGGCTTCCTTCAAAATTTTCTCTTTGTCCTTGGTTATCTGCAGTTTGAGTATATTCCTACTTTGTTTGAATTGGATATTTATCTTGCTTGGTGTTTTCTGAACTTCTTGATTCTGTGGTTTGATGCCTGTTATTAAATCTGAAATATTCTCATCCATTATTACTACAAATACTTCTACTGTATTCTCTTCTAATAATCAAATTATGCATTTTACATCTTTTGATGTTGTCCCACAGTTTTTGGATGTCTGTTGTGGGTTGTATTTTATTTTCCATTCTTTTCTTTTCTTTGTATTTCAGTTTGGGAAGTTTCTATTAACTTGTCTTCAAATTTATTGATTCTTTCCTCAGCCCTGTCAAGTCTATTGATAACCTATCAAAGATTTTCTTTATTTCTGTTACTGTGCTTTTTATTCTGGCATTTTCTTTTAATTCTTTTGTATTTTAGTTTCTGTTGACATTACACAGCATGCACACTGTATACTTTTTCCTTTAGTTATTAACATATTAATCATACTTATTTTAAATTCTGATAATTTCAAAATTTGTGTCATAGCTGAGTCTAGTTTTGATGCTTCCTTGATCTCTTCAAAATATATTATTCCATGTCTTTCTCATACTTCAAGACATTTTGTTAAAAGTCAGAGTAGTTGGTTCATGTAACAGGTACTGAGATAAACAGGACTTTAACATAGCAATCTATGTTAATCAAGCTAGGAGTCTGGCTACATTTAATGTTTACTTTAGGTATAGGTATCAGAGGCTTCAAATTCTACTAGTGTCCTGATTTTTGTATCGCCTCATGGCTGGTAGGTTTGTACTTACCAGCTTTTCTTTGTACTGCACCTCAGAAAAACTGTGTCTTGCAAGTCTTTCAGCTGTAATCCAGTCTTATTATTCTTAAGGTTGGTTGGCGAGGTGATAAGGTATGGGGGAAGGGAATTATTCTAGAATGAGAGAAGTCTCAGACATTTTAGTGGACCCGTGTCTCAGAGTTGTGTTGTGCATAAATATTTCTGGTCCTACTCCAAGCTATAGCTTTCTTGCCCTGTCACCTATTCCTCTACCTGGATGCAGCATTCCAAATATAATCCCTTAAAGCCCTGCTCTCTTCTTTTTTTTTCCTCCCTTAGATGAGAAAGGAAGACTGGTGCTTGGGTAGAATTCCCTTCCCCAATGTGATACAGTATCAGAATTATCATCTGACTTTTTTTTTTTTAATCCTGGAGACTAGACTTCTGTGAGGAAGAAGAGTCTGGGGGTGTTTACAAGTGACTACTCCATACCTTCCCTACTCAAAACCACTAATATATTCTTCTCAGATCCTTCCTTGAGAGAATTTAGTGGATTCCTGGAATGAAAACCCATACAAAGACCCATGACCGTAGTCCCCAGGGAGCACATAATAGTAAGCATGCAGCCATACAGCAATTAATGAAAATAATCATTTCTGTCTTCTCCAGCTTATGGTAAGCAAATCTCAAGAATTGTGTATCTCTGGACAGCCTGCCTCTCTCTGGATTTTAGAGTGGCAGTTTGCCATGCTGCCTCCGTTTTCTGTTGGTTCTAAGAAAAGTTTTAATTCTCAGTTTGTCCAAGTTTTTTGTTGTTGTTACAAAACAGGTGTAATGACTTCTAAGCTCTTGGTGTGTTGGAGTGAAACTGGAAGAACACCCTGTGTTTCTGATTTAGTAGGTCTGTGCTGGGGGTTTCCTGGAATTTGTATTTCTAACAAATTCCCAAGTGACGCTGATACTGCTGGTTTGCAAACCAGACTTTGAGAACCACTGCTGCAATGGTTTTCTCAATGCTTACTGCACATTTCTTACCACATGGGAAGCTTTTACAAATCCTGATTTCAGCCATCATTCCACAATAATTAAATCAGAATTCTGGGCATGTGACCTTAGCATCAGTATTTTTAATGCTAATTTAGAAAAGTGTTACACATTAGAATCACATGAGAAAATTTTAAATACAGTTAATTGTTAAACAGTCATTTTCAAAATTAAATTATATCAATTTACAATTAAATTATATTAAAAACAAAGATAATAAGTACTCAAGACTTATACTTCCATGTTATTAAATGTTACTTTTATCTAAATTCTTGAAGTTATTTATATTTATTATATCTGTATGGTAAAAATACTAAATAGTAATATGCTACTAGGTATTTCTGTCCACCTGTGCATTCAGAAACTTTATGTTGTAGCTTGAAATTTGCTGTGGTGAAAGTATTTATACCATGGAAATTGACAAATATTATAAATCAGGGCTTCTCCAATCTCAGAGCACATAGTTTTACACGTACCATCACACCATGACTTATGTCCATCCCCACTCCCAGACATTCCATTTCTATTGGCCTGAAGTGAGTCTTTACTGTGGGAACTTGAAGAGGTATACCAGATGATGTTAATGTCATTCAAAACTAAGAAACACTGCTCTAGTGCAGAAAACCACCCAGGTGGCAGAAGTAGAATTGTTTAAGCGTGATTCACTTTAGAGACTAACTTCACCAGGCCTGTCCAAGATGATAGAAACATCTATATCATTCTTCAAGGCTGTGAGGTTATGTCACTTCTGTTTGTTTTTGATGTAGACAAGTAGAGGAAAGCCTTAGGCAAACAGTTATACAATGATTTTAGTATTTCTCTTAAGAACGATGCAAATCCATGAGAGGGTTTTTAAGCAGGGGAGACTGTGGTTAGACTGTGTCTTTCAACAGATCATTATGGATACAGTTTGGAAAAACAAATTGGATGGTGGCAAGAATGTATGTAGAGAAGGCTGGAGGTGGTTATGACAATAACCCAATCTTCTTTGTCTCCCTCTGAGAAGATGAGTTTCTCTCTTGTGACAGACATTGCTGATTAACTAATTTTTCATTGTTAAGCTTTTCTCCCTTCCCTTGACTGTTTACACTTAATAGAGGCTGGAAAATCAAGTATTTAACTTTCCCAGTTTCTCTTGAAACTAGGGGTGTCCATGTGATACAGTTCTGGCCAACAAGATTAAAGCCAAAATAAACAAGAACAAAGTCTTCTGGGAAAGCTTTTTCTTTCTCGATTAGGGAGATGTGACTGGTGCCCCTGTCTTTCTCCTTTCTGCCTTTAATGTGGATATAATACCCACAGCAGGGGTAGATACTGTTACACCCAGAATAAGAGTCCATCACTAAAAAAGAAGATTCTATTAAGCACTTTTCCAACCATATCAATATTTTCACAAATCCTTCATTATCATTTTAGAGGAAAAGATACCCTTACTGTACTCCAAGGCAAATGCCCCTGAAGAAATGCATTTCTTCCAGTATTGCTCATAAACCATTACTTCCTCATTCTTTTACCTTCACTTTCAAAATCCTTTGCATTACCTCATGGGTTTTTTCTTTTCCTTCAGATTTTAGAAGGTAGAATATTCCTTATTAAGCAATGACACCAATTGACCCATTGGGAAGACAGACTTCATAGTTTACTCTGTTTGCAACATGGGCTAATGTGTCTATTGTGGAGCTCTTCACCAGTCACAGAAGAGCCAAAAAGGAGGCTTTGTGGAAGAGTATTGCTTCTTTGGAATATGCAAAGGTACAAAATTTACAGAATCAAAACAAAATGGACAATCCCTTTGCTGGGAGAAGTTAGCACTGTCCGTGATGACTTGCCTGGGAGAGGATGACTGGAAGCTTCATGGCTGGAACTCTCTGGACCCTAGTCTGTGATTCCTGAGGCTGGTGGTATAAGACAGTCACCTTGGCAATTTTTAGGACTGTATGGATAGTTACTATGCTGGTAATTTTCATGCAGCTACAGCATAAACCAGCATTTGCAAATCATTACCATAGTTCTTTTAGCTCAAGTATCTGAAAAATAATGAGCATATTTGCCAAAGAAATAATGAAATAAATAATTGTATTTTCATTACCTGTAAAACTAGTCAATCCTTCCCGTTTATAGGATGGTTCTTCTAGGTCTTCTGCTATTGATTCAGTAGTTGATGCACTTGACTTAGAAACTGTACTGCTTCCAAAAACTGACCTTTAATAATAAAATTATTCATTTATTTAGAGTCCTTATGGATAATTAAATATATAAATGAAAACATCAGAGTGAGAAACCAATTATACTAAAATATTAAGCAAAAAAGATAGAAATTAATTAGTCCTTCAACATGAAGTTGATTTTTAATATTAAGTAAATAGTCATTTAAAAAATATTTTAAACATAAGACATGTCAAAACTATGCCTAAAGTTCCTTCAATGGATTCCCAATATATTTAGGGTAAAAACCCAAAATACAGCCTCCCTTCCCAGACTCTCCATTTTCAGTATCACTCTTGCCTTCCCTTTTTCATCTGTTTTTAATTCCTCAATCTTCAGGACCTCAGCCAAAGACTCCCATAATAATTTCCTTAAATATATGAACTTAAAATTACCCATGATATTAAATGTTTTTTTTCCTCTTTTCTATTTATAGTCCCAACTTCCCTCCAAAAGGGTGGGTCAAGTTTACGGAAATATCCTTTGTTTTGCTGAACACTCCCATGGATACTCTAGAGCAGCATTTCCACCCCCTAAATCTCATGCTTAGCTAATATCTGGAACTCTTAATTTGTCAGACTGAAAATTACACATTCAAATATTTCCCCCATGATCTTTACATTGTTTTAGGATGTATTGTTTAATTATTGCAAAGACTCTGAATGTCTCCACTATAAGCATTCATAAAATTTCAAGTTTATTAGTGTCTACATAGTAAATGCATAACATTTCATTTACAAAAAAGAAAATTGTAGAACAATAGAGAAATCAAACCCTAGGAGAATAGGGATTTGCATCAGAGAATAGAGGAAAAGAGAAAAAGCCATTCTCCCTCATAAATTGCAGCAGATAAGAAACTGAACAAATGTGTCTGTAGGTTTGTAACACTAGCCTAACCTTTTGGTTTTGCAGGAAACAGAGAGGAATATTTATATGTTTTTTCAAAAATATTTTGGTATGAGTGCAGGAGAACTTAAGACATGCAAAGCGCTCCATCTAATTGGATTATTTATGAGAGGAGCATAAAGATGATAGAGTAGAGCTGGGAGACAGGAGACAACATACATCCAAGTTACATGTATGCAACTTAAATTAAAAGACACTATATATGATATTTTAAAAAGTATAGAATAGTATACTCTACCTTGTAAACAGCCCTAAGGCACTAGGATTTAGTGTATTTTGGTAAAGGGTATGTGAACCTACGAATTCTGATACAAATGATCCTTCTTGTGATGTCAATAGTTTATTTGGCTTTCCTGAAACAAGATGTGGATCTGGATGGTAAAGAGGTCTAGGAGTAACATCAACTCCATGTGCATCAAACACCTGTGGAAAATGGTAACATAAAATGAAATGAGTTTACAAGGTGAGGTTCATAAATAATAAGTCCTAAAATATAGAAATAAAAGTAGTAGAAAATAAGTATAATATTTCTAGGGCAGGATAAACATGAAAAATTGAATATGAGATTTAAATATTTTAATTTAATTATTTAAATTAATTAAATAATATTAATATTTAATTTAAATATTTTATGTTTTAAAAGTTTCTTAAGTAGGCATACATTTTAAGTTTTATGTTTTACCTATATATAAGCAATGTATATTAATTTTGAGGAAATTCAGAAAGATGGTTATTATTCATCCAGATTGCTATTATTTTGTATATTTATTTTTTCTGTATAAGTTTTAAAAACCTTACATTCTTTTTTGCCCTTTTTCTTTTTTAATTATATTTCATTGATTATGCTATTGCAGTTGTCCTGATTTTTTCCCCTTCATCCCCCTCCAACAAGCATCCCCCACTCCCTCAGGTAATCCCCACATCATTGTTCATGTCCATGAGTCATGTGTGTTAAGTTCTTTGGCTACTCCATTTGCTATACTGTACTTTATATCCCCAGGGCTATTCTGTGACTGCCTATTTGTACTTCTTAATCCCCTCACCTCTTCACCCATTCACCCACACCCCGCTCCCATCTGGCAACCATCAAAATGCTCTCCGTATCCATGATTCTGTCTCTGTTCTTGTTTGCTTAGTTTGTTTTTTTAGATCCAATTCTTGATAGATATGTATTTTTTGCCATTTTATGGTGCATAGTTTTGATCTTATTTTTCTTAAATAAGCCCCTTTAACATTTCATATAATATGGTTTGATGATGAGGTACTCCTTTAGTTTTTTCTTGTCTGGGAAGCTCTTTATGTGCTCTTCAAGTCTATAGTCTAGCTTTGCTATAGTCTAGCTTTTCTCTCTTTGTCTTTGACCATTGGCATTTTAATTATGATGTGTCTTGGAGTGGGCCTTTTTGCATTCATCTTGTTTGAGACTCTCTCTGCTTCCTGCACTTGCATGTCTATTTCTTTCACCAAATTAGGGAAGCTTTCTTTCATTATTTTTTCAGATAGATTTCCAATTTCTTGCTCTTCTGACTTTTCTTCTCCTTCTGGCACCACTATGAAGTGACTGTTGGATTGCTTAAAGTTGTCCCATGGGCTGCTTACATTATCCTAATTTTTTTTGGATTCTCTTTTCCTCTTCTTGTCCTAATTGGTTGTTTTTTGCTTCCTTATTTTCCAAATTATTGATTTGATTCTCAGCTTCACCCACTCTACTGTTGTTTTCCTCTAAATTGTTCTTTATTTCAGTTAGTGTATCCTTTCTTTCCGACTCGATCTTTTTTATGCTGTTAGGTACTCACTATAAAGTTCCCTAAGCATCCTTATAACTAGTGTTTTGAATTCTGCATCTGAAAGATTGCTTATCTCCATTTCACTTAACTGTTTTTCTGGAGTTTTGATCTGTTCTTTCATTTAGGCTATGTTTCTTTGTTTACTTGTTTTGGCAGCCTGCCTGTACTTATTTCTATGTATTAGGGAGAACTGCTTTGACTCGATGCTTGGTAGTGTGGCCTAATATAGTAGGTCTCCTATAGGATCCAGCCACCCCTCTCACCCCAGCTGGGTACTTGAGGTGCACCATTCATGTGGGTTGAGTATATCCTCCTCTTATAGTTGAACCTTGGTTGCTATTGGCAGATCAATGGGAACGATTTACCCAGACCAGTCAGCTGCAAGGATTGGCTGTTACACTTACCATAAATCTCCACCCTCCATAGAGGATCAGCTGTGCAAGGGCAGGATGGTGGTGCTACAACATGGCCTGTAGTTGTTCACTGGGTGTGCTGGCCTTCAGGTTTCCCAGGTGTTTAGGGCCCAGGACAGCCCCACCTGTGTCTTCCAGGGCCACTCTGCCTGAGCTATAAAGCGATCTGAGGTGGCTGCTAGGTGTGTTGGGCTTGGAGATTCCCAGATGAAGCCAAGTTGTAAATCTAGGCTGGCTGCTGCTAGTGCCAGGCCTAGGGCTCCCTGAGGCCAGCTGTTGCTTGTTTGAGAGGATTTAGGAAGTTGTACATCAGCCAAGACCAGCCATTCATATGGAAAAGCAGTTTTCGTGGGTCCATATATTGGGTGGTGTGGAATCTCTGGGGATCTCCAAAGTGGGTCAAACAGTGTTAGCCAGTTTGATGGAATCTCAGATATGGCACCAACTTGCTGGCTCTATTGTGTGTGGGGGCATGTTTAGAAAAGGGATATTGGCCTCTGCTCACCTTGATGCTAGATATTTCAGTTTCTCCCATTATGCTGGTGCCTTTCAAGCTGCCATCCCGGTGCTTAGTGGGAGTGAGTCTAAGTGAGTTCCTGTGTACATTCTTTAAGAGTAACTACTTGCTGCTCCAGAAGTTTCTTCCACCAACTCAATCCCCACTGGTTTTCATAGCCAGAAGTTGCGGGGATTCATCTTCCTGGCACTGGAACCCTGGGCTGGGGAGCCTGGTATGGGGCTGGGACTCCTTGATCCTGAGATATCCCTCCAAATTTTTATCCACCACATGTAGGTGAGGGACCAGCCCTTTCTGTGTCTGAGCCCCTCCTACCAGTCTGCATGGATGTCGTTTCTCTAGTCCATAGTTATCAGACTTCTATTCAACTAGATTTCTGATGTTTCTGAGCGATGGTTGTTCTATATTTTAGTTTTAATTTTGATGTGGTTGTGCAAAGAGGTGAGCCATGTCTGCCTATGCTGCCAGCTTGACTGGAAGTCCAAAACTTTCCTTTCCATTGAACACTTTTATTAATAAGCATTTCCAGATCATATATTGGTGGGGTAAAAGTAGGTTTACAGTTGTTCATATGGAAAATAATACAGTAATTAATAAATAATAACACAAGAATATGCTCTGTGTTTTGCATACTCACAACTGTAAACCTATTTTTGCCCAAGAAACTTTGTATTCTTGGTTTGTTTTTGCCTAATATTTTATCTTTTTGTAACCAAACTCAGGTTCAGCTGCCTGCTACAACAAAAGGCCAATTCATGAGATAGGTGGTGGTGAGAAAGGAAAGAGGTTATTTTCAAATTGCTAGTAATTCAAGATTGGGAATTCATATCCTCAGAAAAATTCATCAGAATCCTCAGAAAATTCATCATATCCTCAGAAAAAACCTCAGTGCAGGCAGAGGTTTTTATAAGGATGGAGAGGGAAAGCAGATCAAAAAGATCAGGGGGAGGAGAATGCAATGCACTGCTTCTTCTGAGAGGGGAACACAGGAAAGGGAAGGGGTTTCCTCCTCTCATTTTGGTGCTATCTCTCTTCAAACAGGAATTTGTAGATTTACTGTGGACACTTGTGGATTTTCATGGCTAGTGCCAAGCAGTCATTTCTCCACTCCCCTCACCCCAGCAGACTTCTCTTAAGCTGTAAAGAAGGCTAGATAATGGGTAAAAACACAGGGCTTTATTTACATACTCCAAGAAAACAGAGGTGGCTGTAGCCATGAGAAAATATAGCATAATTGAAATGTTAAATTATGGTTACATTTTCAATTATGAAATTTAATGCACACAGAAATGTAATTAAAACTATATGTGTAGTTAAATAATATAAGGCAAGTGTTCTAAGAATCACAACAACAAAAAAATAGAACATTCACAGAAGCTCTAGAAGACTTGGCCTGTCTGAATTACATCTAGGGACCCTAGCTTTTGCCCCTTCCGGATCACAGCTGAGAACATGCCTCTCAGTGATAATTATTAACTTAATTTTTGTGATCATTTCCTTTCTTGTTTTTATAGTTTCATTAAGCATGCACTCCTAAATAGTAGCATTTACTTTGTATATATTGTATTGAAGTTAAATATGCATAAAGTACAAATATAAATGCACAGCTTAATAAATTTTCACCAACTGAACAAACCCATGTACCCAGTATTCAGATTTAGAAACAGAAAATTACCAGCATCTCAGAAGTTCTTTTCATGAGAGACACTATCTTCCACCAAAGGCAACAATTATTCTGATACCATGAATTAGTTTTGCCTGTTTTTAAACCTTATTTAAATGGAATCATACTCTTGGTATCTGGTTTCTTTTGTCCATTATATTTGTGAGATTAATTCATATTATCAAGGACAGTTGTAGATGGCTCATTTTCATTGTATAATATTCCACTGTGTGAATGTCATACTTTTATTTATCGATTTTATTATTCACAGACATTTTTGTAGGTTCCAATTTTTTGGCTATTACAAATGGCACCACTGTGGATATTGCTGTACATGTTTTGCTGAACATGCTATGTGAATTTATGTTGGGTATGTACCTAAGAATGGAATTTCTGGGTAACTTATATATATGTTCATCCTTAACAGATACTGCTAAAGTTTCCTCAAGTGGTTCCCACCAACACAATATGAGAGTTCTGGTTACTCCAAAATTTTGCTAGCACTTTGTATTTACCATGTTTGTCAATGTAATTTAGTTTTGCCTGTTTTTAAAATTTAGATAGTCATATATTATGACTGATATTGTCATCTTTTGTTTAACAGTGTTTTTATTTATTTTAAAAAAGATTTTATTTATTTATTTACTTTTAGAGAGAGGGGAAGGGAGGGAGAAAGAGGGGGAGAGAAACATTGATCCTCTAGCACACCCCAACTGGGGACCTGGCCCACAACCCAGGCATGTGCCCTCACTGGGAATCTAACTGGTGATCTCTTGGTTTGCAGGATGACACCCATCCACTGAGTCTGGGCAACAAGTTTTATTTGTGTTTGTTTTTTTAATTTTAGCTTTTACATATAGATTTCTGATTCAATGTTGAATTAACTTTTCTTATATGGTGTGAGGTAAAGGTCCAACTTCATTCTTTTGCATGTGTCCATGCGATCATCCCGTCTCCATTCATTGAAAAGATTATCCTTTTTCTATGGAATGCTCTTCATATCCTTATTGAAAATATGTTGAACGCTGACATATGTGTTGATTTCTGGACTCCTAGTTCTATTCCATTGATCCATCTTTGTGCCAGTACCACACTATCTTGATTAATATTGCTTTGTAGTAAAGTTTGAACTTGAGGAGTGTGAGTCTGACTACTTCATTCTTCTTTTTTAGTTTGGACTATTCTGCGTTCCCTGCAATTTTATGCATAATTTGAATTGTCAACTTGTACAAAGAAGTCAGCTAGGATTCTGATAAGAATTGTGTTCAGTTTGCAGATCAGATTGGAGAGTATCAACATCTTAACAATGGTAGGTCTTCTAATCCATGAATTTTAAATGCTTTCTTATTTATTAGATCTTCTTTAATTTTGTTCAGTAATGTCTTATGGTTTCCAGAGCATAAATTTTACTGTTCCAATTTATTCCCTAGTCTTTTATTGTTAAAGAAATTATTTTCTTAATATTCATCCATGTTGTAGAAGTGTCAGAATTTTCTTCCTTTTTAAAGCTGAAAAATATTCCATTTTATGTATATTACATATACCACATATTGTTTACTCAGTTACCTGTTGATGGAAATTGTTTTCCTTCCACCTTCTAGCTATTGTGAATAATGCTGCCATGAACATGGGTGTACAAATAGCACTTCAAGTATCTGCTTCCAATTCTTTTGGTTATAGACCAAGAAATGGAATTGTTGAATCATATAGTAATTCTATTTTTAATTGCTTGAGGAACCACAACAGTGTTTTCCATAGCAGCTGCATCATTTTACATTGCTACTGACAGTACATAAAGGTTCTAATTTCTCTATATCCTCACTAGCACTTGCCATTTTCTAAGTTTAGTTTTCTTTTTAAAGTAGCCATCTTAATGAGTGTGAGGTAGCATCTCATGTGGTTCTATCTGCATTCCCTTAATGATTTTTAATGTTGAGCATTTTTTCATGTCCTATTGACTACTTGTATATCTTCTTTGGAAAAATATCTATGTAAGTTATTTGTCCATTTTTAAATGGGCTGTTTATTTGTTTGTTGTGAGTTAGTGTTCTTTGTATATTCTGTATACTACTTCCTTGGTAGATACTTGATTTTCTATTTTTTTCCTTATCCCATGGGTTGCCTTTCACTTTGCTGTTGTGTCCTTTAATCATTAGAAACAAGTTTCTAATGTTTGATGAGGTCCAATATATATATATTTTTTCTTTTTGCTGTCACATCTAAGAAGTCATTGTCAAATCCAGTGTCAAAAAGTTTTTTCCCTTATGTTTTCTTCTAAGTGTTTAATAGTCTTAGCATTTACCTTTAGGTCTTTTGATTCATTTTGTGTTATTTTTGGCTATGGTATAAGAAACCTACTTCATTCTTTTCATGTCAATATCCACTTTCCCCAACACCCTCATGCAAAAGACCATTTTTTCCCCACTGCATAATCTTGGCATTCTTGTTGAGTATCATTTGACATATATTGAGGATTTATTCCCAGGCCCTATATTCTGTTCCATTGGACTACTATATTTCTTTTTTTATGCCATACTATACTGTGTTGATTACTGCAACTTTTACAATCAGGGAGTATGTTTTAAAATCAGGAAGTATGAGATCCCCAACTTTGTTCAAGGTCGTTTTAGCTATTTGGAGTCCCTTGATATTCCTTATGAATTTTAGGATAGTTTTTTTTATTTCTGTAAAAAATATCATTGAAATTGTCATAGGGATTGCATTGACTACATGGATCGTTTTGGGTAGTATCAACATCTTAACAATATTACATCTTCCCATCTATGCAGAAGGGATTTTTTCCTCATTTATTATTGTTTTCTTTTATGTCTTTCAGCAATTCCTATAGTTATCAGTGTACAAGGCTTTCTTCTCCTTAGTTTATTCCTAAGTATTTTCTTCTTTTTGATGCTATTGTAAATGGAAATCTTTTTCTTAATTTTCTTTTTGAAGTGTTCATTGCTCACTGTATAGAAATACAATGGATATTTTGCATTAATTTCCTATCTTTTTTGAATTTATTTTAATGTGAAATCTTTAGGGTTCTCTACACATAAGATCATGTCATATGTGAACTGAGATCATTTTACTTCTTTCTTTCCACTCTAAATGACTTTCATGTCTTTTCTTGCCCAATTGCTCTCATTAGAACAACCACTATTATGTTGAAGAGAAGTCACAAAAATGGGCATCCTTGTCCTGTTTCTGTATTTCATCATTATGTATGTTAGCTATAGGTTTTACAGAATGCTGCTAAGGAAACCCTTTCTCTTTCAATTTAGTTGAAATATCAAAAAAATTAAATCATGAATGAATGTTAAATTTTTTCTAAATGTTTTTCTGTTATCAGTTTTTTCTTTTTTTTCAGTCTATTAATATGGCAACGTTGGAACAACTTTGCATGTATTACCCCTACTTGGTCATGATTATCCCTTTTACATAATATTGCTAATACTATGTAATATGTATGTGTTTTACATATGTATAGCATATAAATGTGTATACCCTATGTATATACAATTATTATGAACTGAATATTTGTATATTCCCAAAACTTACATGTTGGAATGCTAATCCCAATGAGATGGTATTGAGAGATGGAACCTTTGAGAGGCAATTAGGTAATGAGAAGCTGGAGGCCTTGTGAATGAGATTAGTGCCCTTATACAAAGTGGCCAAGAGAGCCACCTAAATCTTTTTCTGCCATATGAAGATACAGTGAGAAGCTGGTAGTCTGCAACCTGAAAGAAGGTCTTCACCAGAACCTGATCATGCCAGCATCCTAATCTTGGACTTTCAGCCTCCAGAACTGTGAGAAGTAAATGTCTTTGTTTATAAGCCAGCCACTCCATGGTAATTTGTTATAGCAGCCTGAGCTGATTAAGATAATAGTACATGTAATATATATGAAAATATTATTCATTTATTAAAATAATATAGGGTTATTTCCATTTTTTGGCTATTATAAATAAAACTGCTATGAACATCCATGTATATATAGTCCTTGTACAAACCTATAATTTCTTTTCTCTTGGGAAAATTCCTAGAAGTGAAATGGCTGGATGCTATAGTAACTATATATTTAACATTTAATAAACTGCCAAGTTGCTTTTCATTTTGCAGTATATGAGAGTTCTAGCTCCTTCACATACTTGCCAACATTAGGTATGATCAGTCTTTTAATTTTAGCCATTCCAGTTGGTGTGTAGCAGTATCTCATGGTTTTACTTTGCATTTTCCTAATGACTAATGCTGGTATCTTGAATGCACTCATTAGCCATCTGAATATGTACTTCGGTGTTTTTTCAAATGTTTTACTCATTTTAAAAAATTAGGTTGTCTTAATATTGTTTTGAACATTATTTATATATTTTGGATACAAGTATTTTATCAGATATATGTTTTGTAAATAACTTTTCCTATTGTGTGGCTTTCCTTTCTATTCTCTTAGCAGTGTCTTTCAAAGACCAGTTTTAATTTTGATGAAGTCCAGTTTACCAATTTTATCTTTCATGGACTGTGTTTTTGATGTCATATCTAAAAAATCATTGCCTAGTCCATTCACATTTATATACTATAAACTTTTCTGTATCACAGGCCTCTATAACAAAGTATATTATACTTTGATTAATGCTTTTAAAAAGTCAATTCTTAATTATAAGTTCTCTAAGGAGATAAGATAATCTACTTTATGACAATTCATTTTATATGTTTTGGACTATACTGCATAAAAGAGGGGATAACAGTTACAGTCTATATTACAACTAGATAGTTACAATTAATATCATGACCAACTAGTTCTTAAAGTCATGAGTAGACTATTCTCATTCCACTGTAATATTACTACCAATAATGAATTACAGGAGCCAACTAATAATATTACGCTGTAAGGTATGTTATATGGTAAAGACTAACAAAATCAATACATCAACATTAAAAGCAATTATTTCAAAGCAGCATATTTTCTACCTTGAACAGTTCATCAAGCTTCATTTTCAAATGAACTCAAAATTCTAAAGAATATTACCTATAGCCCTGGCTGGTGTGGTAGAGTGGATTGAGCATCGGACTGCGAACCAAAGGGTCGCAGGCTCGATTCCCAGTCAGGGCACATGCCTGGGTTGCAGGCCAGGTCCCCAGTTGGGGGCACGTGAGAGGCAACCACACATTGATGTTTCTCTCCCTCCCAATCTCTCTAGAAACAAATTAAAAAAAAAAGAATATTACCTGTGAGACTATCTTTGTGGCAGAAATATTAATTTTTTCTACTTTTGTCTCTGGTAGAATTGTCAAGATTCTTGATGTACCCATTCTGCTTTGGTTTGCACCAGGATACCCTTTCGATTGATTTCTTTTTACCGAGCCAGTAAAGCTAATAGACTTCTTTGGCTGCGAGCCAACATTCCTATACCAGGAAAAGAACACATAATACAGAGGATCCACAATTGAAGAAAAACTAACCAACAATAAAAAAGAATAGATGTTCATTTTAGAAACATGGAAACAATCTAAACATATAAATAAGAAATAATAATAGCTACTTAGGGTTCATTATGTGTAAACATAGGCCTACAATGTTTACATGCATTATGTCTTTTTTTCCACATAACTCTACTATTATTTATGTGAAATCACAGAAACCTAGAGGGAAACATTCCTTCTAAGGTTGAAATTTAAATCCCGGCAGTCAGATCCAAAGTCTGCACTGATTTCTCTGGGTTTGTTTTCTTATGTGTTTAACGAGGATAATAATGGTATCTAATTCATAGGTTATTTGAGGATTAAAACAATTAATTTATATATTATGGTTAGAAAGTGCCTAACATGCAGTAAACACAAAGTGTACAGTGTGGCTGCACAGACAGATTGAAGCCTGAGTATCAACCTGGGAAAGAATATAATTTTTGTCCTTTTACAATTACATAATAATTTTTAAAAAGAAGAAAAGTTATAATCAAAATGTTTATATCCCAGGGAAAATTTTTTATTTTATTTTGGATCTACTCTGTAAATTCACTAAGGAAAAAAATCTTATTCATTCATTCTAGTACTTTCATTATACTGTGGATTTTTATAAAATAAGGATGAACTGCTTTTAGATTTTAAAAAGAAAATAAATTTCTAAAGAAAACATTTTTAACAAGTTTTACTTTTCAATCCATAAAAGATCAGACAAAAATAAAATGTTTAAATGACATCAATCTGTTTTTCATATTTTATTCATCACATTTATTAATACTTGACACTGCTGTTGTCTACTCCTCTACTAGTATACAAGCATGTTTGGGACACGAACTTTGTCTTGCTCATTGTTATATCTCTAGTACCCAGGACAGTGCCCAGTATATTGTGGGCACAAAATAAGTATTTTTTTCAAGTAAATGAATAAGTGAATTCCATTCATGCTACATTCTTTTCAAGTATTTTACCTTACCCTCTCCCCTTCAGTCTCTAAATGACTTTATCTCTAATGTCTCTAAGAAAATAAAAATGATCAGTCAGGTAAAAACTCCTTAAATTATTTCTCTACCTTCATTATATTCTTCTCGCACATTCTACAAACTCATATAACCCCATTTTCATTTCTTTCTTCCTCTTTCAGTAAGAGTTGCCATTCTTATCTAAAGCTATCTTGCTATCTATGCTTTGAAACTTGTTTCTTACCACTTTCTCAGAGTCGTCTCCATCAATAATTCCCTAATTTCTACATCTTATTTCCTATTTTTTCCCTTGAGAATATAATTATGCTCCAGTCATCCCCTGAAACTTAAAAATCTTCCCTTTAGCTATGTCTTCCTCTATTACTATATTTCTCCTTCCTTTCACATCTAACTTAAAATATTAGACAATACTGGCTACTTCCTTATTCCTCTTATTTGTTTCATTTATTCACTATAATCAAGTTCTGTTCTCTCCTCTCCTATTGCATAGAAACTATTCTCATTAAAAATCACCTAGTCCTTCAAATTCTCAAATCCTAGGGATTCTTGTCAGTACTTATCTTTGCAGCATCTGACAGTTGACAATCCCCCCACTTCTTAACATTAACCTCTCAACTTGGTTGGTTTCTGGATACCACTGTCTCTTATTCTTCAGCCTCCTTGGGACCTCCAGTCACCTGGCCCTCCCATTTTCTGCCAACTAGTACCTTTAGGTTTCTCTTCTTTTTCTACTTAATCTGGAATACACAAGGCATCAAGGAAATCACTCTTTTAACATTATCTTCAATTCTTGTTTTCTTTCTCCTTGACATTTGCCCTCTCATCATTACAAAAATCCAGTCTTCCCATTCTATTTTTGGTTAATTAGTTTCCTCTTTTGAGGAATACACTTAGGCTCAAACCTCAGTTACCTGTTTTCACACCATATATACTATCCCTGAGTAAATGTAATAAAACCCATGGATTCAATGACTACTTATACTCCACTTCCTTCTAGCAATCTACCATCATCAACGCTATTTCCTTTCTCTTGTCCCCTGAAGATTTTATATCTTGAATTACTGACTCTCTCCAATACTACTCCTGGCATAATTCCTGAGTATTTCAATTTCTATGAAGGTAATCCTTATACTACGGCTTCTTAGCTCCTTGAAGTCTTCTCATGTAAATGATATTGTCCTCCTTGCTATGTCAGTTATTTGTTCTCATGGTCATAGCAAGGTCAACCATCACCTCCTACTTTTCTAGTTTATATACTCTCTTAAACCCCAACTTCAAACAACTTTCAATTCTATTATGACCCTCAAACCCTTGATTCTACCCTACTTTACTCCCTTATCCACTCCTCTCATGCAATCTCTTTCCTCCTGAGTTTAAGGTTAATTAATATAATCCATAGTTAATTGTTATAATCACTCCTTACACTCTCACTCCCCTTTTCTTCTTTAAATTCACTGTAATTTCTAGCAAAACCAAAACTTTATTAATTAAAATTATCTTCTTACTTTGAGCCTGCACCTGTATATTAAACATGTTTCTAGCATCTATAAACTCAATGTTTTAATATCTGCCCTACATGTATTAGCCAAATGCACCTTGTTCTGGATAACCTGATGTGCCCAAGTCATCTTGCCTTGGCTTCCTGCCTTCCTTTTTGCCTCTCACCCCTAGGGGCATGATTTTCTAATACAAACCAACTGATCCAGAGTCCACACCCCTAACTACCTCCTTAATGGAGCTTTCATATTGATTATACACCTTCCCTAATCACCCTATAGCCAGGTACCAGATAACTAGGATAGGACCCTATGCACCAGAATCCACTGAAATCATTCAAAGTAGCCAATCCTAAATGTACTTACCCTGCCTCACATATTTCTTCCAACCAAAACCACAATCAAGACTCTTACCTACAGTTCCCTCTCCCTCTGGCTGGTGGCTGACCCGTGTTTCTCCAAGTGGTCTCCTATGGAATTGAGGTGCCCTCTGCTCTAGGGAACTCGGAATAAAAAACTATTTTTTCAATGGTGATTGTCTCCTGATCTGTTGCTTTACTATACCCTAAATTTCCTATTAATATACTACATTTTAATTTAACTCAACTTGAGCATCTAAATGAAGCTAGAGAAAAATATGCAAACATTATGTTAGATCTCACTTTAAATTATGGCTTATTAACTTAAAGTGGGACCCTAATTTGCCAGCAATCATACTGCATTTTCTTGGTTCACTTTTTAACTGCACCTTCTAAGGCCACTATTTCATACTCTCTCCTTGAAGATCAACATCTCCTCTCCCATCTTTACCTTTAGCTGATTAAATGAGAAAATTGAAGTAATCAGGTAATTTCCAAATACTCTCATTGTCACATCTAGGCACCTACCTGTATCTGTGCCTATGATCTGTATTTCTCTCCATGTTATGCTGGAAGAGTTATCTAAGAATCTAGTTTAGGTCAATTCTTCTACAACTGCACTAGATTCCACTCTCTTTTGCCTTTAAAAGGACATTGTTCTAGTAATTCTCTCTCAAAAGCTATCTACCATAAGCTTCTCTTTCTCTATTGGATTATTCCTTTCAGCATGTAAACACACTATTATTTCTCCTATCTTAAAGAAAAAACTTCTCTTTACTGTATCTACCTCTCCACCTACCATTCCATTTCACCTTTCCTTTAATTATAGCAACTCCTTGAGAAAATAATTTGTCTACACTTATTGTTTCTAATCTCCCTCTTTATGTACTCTTTCAAACCTGACCTAATCATATTTTTGCCCTTACTTCACCAAAGGGATTCTTATCAAGGTCCAGTCACTTGCACAATATTAATTCCAATGGTTTTTCAATGTTCTTTTCTTACTTATCAACAGAATTTACCCATCTGGTCATTCTTTTTTCTTAACTGTGATGGCAGGATATTTTCCTTACCTGGTTTTCCTTCTACATTTTTCTATCCTTGGATTTCTTCCTATTTCTTTCTACACTTATAGCCTAGGTGAATTCATCCACACTGCCATGATTTAAATGTCATCTATATGATGATCCCCGAATACATATATATCTCTCTCTGAACCACTGACAAATATACTTATTTTCTTAACACTTCTAACTTAAAAATTAGAATGTCCAAAACTGAACTCCTCACAAACTTGCCCTCACCCTGTTCAGCAAATGTACTTGCCTTGCAGTATTCCCATTTGTTAAAGATAATGCTATTCTTCCAGTTGCTCTTGTGAAAAAGAAAACTTCAAAATATATCCAGAATCCAACCATTTGTCACCAACTTTTTGCCACAATCTTGGCCCAAACACTATCCCATCTTTCTTAGAATACTGTAGTAGCCTTCTAACTCATCTTCTTGCTGAACCTCAATCCCCTGAAGACTACTCTCCACACAGCAACTGGAGTAAACCTTTAAAGCACAAATCAGATCATATCACTACTCTGCTCGAAACCCTCTGTTCATCTCCCACCACGTTTAGAGTAAAAACCTAAGTTCTTCCTCTGACCTAAAAAGTCCAACATGCATCCAGTTAGGTCTCTGATTTCATGTTCAATGCTTTTTCTCTTGTTTACTCTGCTCCAGTCACATTGGCATCAGAGCCTTTCCATTTGTTATTGTCTTTGCCTGAAATTCTCTTCCCCATAAATGTAAATGCATAGCACCCTCACTTTCCTCAGGTCTTTACTTAAAACTATCTTGTGTGACCTTCTCTGGCTCCCCTATCTAACATGTCAAATACTTCTCTCAAATATTCATATTACCATGCTTTATTTTTCTACCTTAGTACTTTTTACTAACTGTAGCTCTCACACACAGGTAGCATTTAGCATTTCTTACTTGTGTCTTTTACTTATTTAACTTATGAATTGCCCACTGTCCCTACCCCTCTCCACCCTTAGAATCAAATTTCCATGATGGTAGTGATTTGGGAATATTTTGTTCCTTGCTATATCCCTAATG